TTTTCTTTTTTTTCTTCTTGTCGAGATGACATTTCAATAAGCTCATGTTTGTCATTTACATGCACAGAAACGCGATGAAGAGAATATTGAGAATAGCAAGAAAAGATAGTTGTCGTTAAATGACATAAAATCTTTATCATTTTTTTAAAGTTTAATCATCTGTTGGTGACCACTTGAATCAAAGAAGTCTTTTATTTCATAATAAATCTTATCGTTTGCTTTGCTATTAATTCATGTTAAAAGCAAAAAGATCTGAATCTTTCCAAGTCTAATATATGATAGTAGATGTAAAATTTATTTGAATTCATATTAATTCAATAATAACGAAATGGACTTGCTCAGAAGATATAAATCAATTAATATGCGATTAAATTTTTAAGAAAAGTATTTTTTAGCATCCAACAATTGTTTTGAAAAAGATTTCTCAACACAACTAATAAAAACTGCTAGCTTTTTTTAAACATTAAGTTATATTTGTCTACTCAAATAAGCAGCTGTTTCAACTAAGCATATTTTTCTTCTTCGTTAAGTCTTCTTATGCCACATTCATATGAAGGATAGCATTAATGAAAATTTAAGTATTTTACATAATACTGTACCTCATCTCTAGAAACTTTAGAGATTTCAAAATATGAAGAATCGTATACTCAATTAAACAAAATGCTCAAAACATAAATAAGCAATATTATCTAGAGAATGAAGTATGATTTGAACATCAGCCGAAAGAAGCAGGATTCAAACCAACATGAAACGCACATCAAAAATAGCGAATACATCATATTCACCATAAAACGATCAGTAGATGAATAGCAAAATAAAAATTTACTATTCCATAACAGCAGAAAACTGAATAGCATCTTCTGTATAAAATGAACAAAATAATTTTTCGAATCAATTCATAGGATAAAAAATATTTATTTTTCTTGAGATGGTTTTCTTCGTTGCAGAACTTTTTAGTGATAACTTTTGAGTAGCTTCGTTTGTATGTGCAACGAGTAGCGAAAAAACTAGAATTATAGAAAACTTGATTTTAAAGGGAGATGATGCCAATTAACGTGTGAAGTGAAAACTTTGCGAAGTGAAAACTTTGCGAAGGACATTAGTTATTCTTGTTCATACATCATTTTTCAAAAGTATTTCAAACAGTAGAAATAAATACGTCTCACAGATTTTAATCGGTTGTTTCGTTTTCCTGTCTGTTGCTAACGTAAATTTTATTGAATTAATATGAAACGACAAGTTCTCAAATAACTGAAAACGTGTTGTAGGTACTTTTATCCTCATGACATAGTTGTAAGAACAAAATAACAAAAAATTACAGGAAGTTGAATATATGTATGAACTATAGGGATCTTATGATAAATAAAGATAATATTGTGTTTGAATATTCACAAGGATTATTGAAGACTTGAAAATCGACACCCTCATTCAATTTCAGTGCTAAGCATTACTTGTTTTTTCTATTAATTTTTGTTTAAAACGTTTTGTTTGGGTACAGCTATACTCCCATGTCGCCTCTTTTTTATCAACTGTGCCGCAGTTACACGTAGAGCCAATTCTGCGTCGCAATTACGCGTAACTATGGCGCATTGAGCGTAGTGAAGATTTCTATAAGAAACTACGCTTAGTATGACTCAGATCAACGTAACTGCGCCCTAGTGATCGCATCCTACGATGTGTTGTTGATATAAATGACCAATTACAAATTATTCCTCCTTATTTGTAATTGGCTACACTCGAACAATAAAACTTAGTCACAGAAAATCAGTATAAATAGTAGTGCTGATCACATTTTCGTTCATAAGTCATTCTACTACAAGCAGTGAAATGCATAGTTTTTATTTCTTTTAAAAATTTCTAGATTAAAATTTTTTTAGTTTTTCAATTTTTTGTAAATAAATTTTTTTTATTTTATAATTAAATTATTTCAAATTTTTTTTTTCTTTTATACATTCAATTTTTTAAAATTTTTTTAGATCTTAATTTTAAAATTTTTTTAGATTTTAATTTTCCTCAAGTTTTAAACTAAAATTTTTTTTAAAATTTTTATTTTAGTAAATCTTTTGTTTTTTTAGATTTCAATTTCTCAATTATTTTTATTATGAAAACTTTTAATTTTAAAATTGTTTTTTATTTTTTATAAAAGTTTTAATTTTATATTTGTTGTTCAGTTTTTGTGCAAAACATCTTTTAAACTCAATAAAAATACAAATAAAAGGAAACCCTAATCTATGTTATCTTTTGTACCAATTGCGACGACACTGTGAACTATAATTCCGAAAAACTTGGGCGCAGTTATGTGTAACTGTGATTTTTCCCCCGTAACTACGCGTAACTGCGATTTTTTCATTGCAGTCGCGCGTAACTACGTCGCAATTTTCCGCAATTACGGATCACAGTGCGATCGCAGTTACGGCGTAACTGCGCCGCAGTTTCATCGTAATGAAACACATGGGCTCTCTCGAGATCTCACTTGGACGGGGAGTAACCGACTATTTTCATTACTAATATGCTATTTTTAACATTCGTGTACTTTTCGTTCGAAATTCCTTCACGGTTATATGCATTCAGAGAGACAATCATGTAGCAACTCAAATATGCGCCAATTCGTCGTTATTTGTGTACAGTCTATGGTCGCATATTAATAACATACTTCATATTATATGATGGCCTCTGAGCAGCGTCTTTCACGATAGGGGTGGGTAGCCGAGATTTCTATCACGATGTAACAAGGGGAATGGTTAGGAATTTATACTCTTAATACTTCTACACTCTTTTTTAGATCCTATCTCAAATAATTAAATATTTATCCGGCAAATCTAGTACTTTTCTATTTATTGAATATAATTTAAAATATGGGTCCCAAATGCTCAACGTTTGAAATGGGTGGAAATATCCAAATAGTTGGTACGTATGATATCTTGGAGCGGGATTCGAGTATTTCTTGTAAGGATTCGCTAATCCGTGGGACCAACAGGTGAAAATGACACTGGTCGATAGAACTCGACGAGCTCTATCGAATGGACACCTTTTTAGCTAATGGGCATGCTGGAATCCCCTCCGAAATTGCTATTTAAGCTGTAAAACCAGGTTTTTTTTTGAAAATCCTTTATGGATTCTCCAACGCGCCGGACCAAGAACCTGAAAACGACACAGGCAGATAGAACTCGTCGAGCTCTATCGAATGGACACCGTTTGAACTTGATTCCAAACTAGGATCCCCTCCGAAAGGGCAAATCCAGATTTTAGTTGAAGTTTCATTACAAAATTTTTTGTTTTTGTACCCAACTCACAAAAGGAAACATTAATAAATTCTATTTTTCTTATAGTTAAATTTGAGATATTTTCCTAAATCTTCTTTTCTATGCTTTAGATTTTAATTTAGATCTTTCCAGTTTTGTATATTTTTGTTTAATTTGAAATAGTTGAGCTGATAGTAAATCAACAACATTCTAATCTTTTCTTTTCTTTTCTTTTCTTTTCTTCAAGAAATTCTATATGAAGGACGAGAAAAAGAAATCATTGATCAATAAGGTCTTATTTTCATGAAGACGACAAGAGACAGAAAAAAAAGCATTTTTTTTGTTTATCGCTATCTTCGTTCTCGTATTATTCATCGATATATTTATCGACAGAAAAGGAAAAAAATTTCATTAGTTCATTTCTTTCGATCAATAAGATGGAAGGAGCAAAAGATGGAACGAGATACATGTATGTATAGTACATATGTGTATAGGAAGGAAAGAAAAAAAATTGATACGTTACAGATTTAATTCAATGGAGAGGAAGGAACGAAAGAGGGCGAAATATATGATGTATAGATAAGTGCATTAACACGCATATACATATGCAGGAACGAAAAAAAAATTTATTGGTTCGTTTCCTTCGATCAATCAGTGATCGAACCGAGAAAACAATTGCAGTGTTCTTAATATTAAGTACCCCAAGCAACAACAGAGTACCTCGGGTACTTACGATTTCAGAAATGTACTCTGTTTTGCACCTACCAAAGAAATTCAAAGTACTCTGAGGGTACTTTGAAAAATAAAGAGGAACTTTGCTTATTTCTTACCCTATTATTCAATTGGTGGTTTTCTTCGCCATATTTGTGTTTTACTGGTAGAAGGAGCTAAGAATAATTTTTTCTTTCAGTATAAAGTAACCCAAATCATTTGAACCAAATGATGGAGTTATGATTCATCGTGGAAATTTCTATTCTATTGTTTGTTTTAGATTTTGTTTTTGTATTTTATACATATTTTCTTGGCGTATATTTATTTTTGCTAAATAAGCAGTTCTTGTTCAATATACATTAATTAGATTTATTCGTTTATTTTACTTGCTATAATCAACAAAATATGTGAGTAGCATAAATACTTTTTTTCTTTTCACTTATTTTATTTTGCATATAGGAAAAATGCTGAAACAAATAATGCTTGATAAATCATTTGGTACAACATTATCAAAAACTGCTGCCAAAATTATTCAAGCTGAAAATAATGAAAATAATTCAGATTCAGTTCATTTATCGGATGATGATGATAATGACAAAGCCTCAAGTCAAGAAAAAAATATTGTTGTTAATGAAATTGAAATAGAAATAATCTTGTCTTTGTTTTTCTTTTTCTAATGGCACTTTGTGGTACTTGCCTATTTGAAACAAAGTACCAACAGGCAGTTTGATAACAAAAATAAAGTACTAGTTTGCACTTTATTTTAGATTTCTATTAAGAACGCTGAACAATTGTATTTTTGTCAAGTTCATGTCAATTTCTACTTTTAGAAAAAGGAAATATTTAATTTTTTTTTGGTTTAGATATTTTTTTCCTATTACCGATCGATAGTTTCTTCACAAACTAAGATTGAAGATTAGATAGTTTTGAAAATTATCTCTATTATTTTTTAGGTAAGAAATAAAATTTTATGAGTGAGTGTGTTTGTTTATTATTGCGATGGGTATGAGCATTTATTATTGATAAACGACAAGATATTGAAAAAAATTATAATGAGAGTATTTTATGTACAGATGATTTAAGATACTTTGTGTCTTGTTGAAATTTTAATTTGACGAGTTTGAAGAGATAAAGAAACAATACAATTAGAAGAAGAGAAATAGCAGTTAAAGTGTATGTTAGTCCCATTTGTAAAATCTGTTTAATGCTTGGTTTTTTCGATGATACAATATCTATTAATTCATTGATTGTTTTTCCAAACTGGGATTCATACGATGAGACTATCATTTTTATCATATTTTTTATTGGAAGAAAAATGCGTGGTTGCGTTTTAGAATTTGATATTTGACTAGCAGTCACGAGTGTTCGATGTGGAGTACAAGATGTAATAGGCATTTGAGTATCGATGCATTGAACTGATTTGTTACAAGGTATATTCACAAGAGCAGGTTCATTGATTGAAATTGATTCGGTGTGATCATTGGAATTCGAATAAATATGACATTGTTCGGCACGGTGTATATTAAAGAAAAGCCATAATTCATTATCAATTTGCATAAAATCTTGTTCGATATCTGTGGATCGAGTAACTTGACACATATCTGTAGTTGTTTGAGTATTGTCTAATAGTTGTGAAAGACATGAAGATTTTGCTAATGATTTTGAAATCGGTGATTTTTTGCATAAAGCAATACGTGAAAATATGCACTGTTTGATGTCGACATCTTCTTTCCATGTGATTACTCTTCGATCGATATGATCTATACCAATTACCTGTGGCAGATTTGTATATACATACATGTCGTTGTTGTGAACGATTGGTAATGCAGTTAACCGATAAATTGAATATGTCAATGAAGTGTCAGGTTGAATACGCAAGAATAAAGTAGAGATAGCTATGCATGGTTGAGATGGCAATGAATTGTCTTGAACTAATGAACAGTAGCGGAGTGCAAAAATTGATTGTCCTACAACATACTGAAAGAAAGTATCGAGGGACTCTTGAGTATTAGAGACAGTGTAGTAACTGTCGACAGTAGAAAATGCTGCAGCTAAAAATATTTTCAAATCACCGCTAGATAAAAACTCTAAACCAACTTTATTGATATTGCTACTTATCTGTTTGAGAAATTTGTCAATTAAATCTGAGCGAACACGAGAAATAATGGGTTTACTTTCAATAGTGCTGCCTGGTGTTGTTGTAGTGAAGGTATCGACGACAGTCTTATTGTAAAAGAATTTATTACTAACAAAATGGATGATTGATTTGGTATGTCTAATAATATTGTCTGGATGATGTTCTGCGAGCACTCGAATCATGTCTTTTCCTATCAGTCTCGATACATTTTCACTGTTATACGATGTGAATCTATGAATGATACTATTAGATGACATCATAGTAGTGAGAAGTGCCATATTTCTATCTGTCGGTGCTGATGCATATTGACATGTATCTGTTTGTGGGGACGTAATACAAAATCTAGATATAGGTACGAACGTATGTATGACTTCTTCTACGAGATTAGGTGAGTATAGACCTAATCGTTGAAGAGTATAGCCTTTATTAATGTCAATTATAACATCATTCTTTGACCAGTCTCGCATAGACACAAGAATAACAGTTCCGATTGAATTAATTATAAAGTATAAGAAAAATAATCTTGTAGTATGATCCATCTTCGTGTAATATGCTTCAATGTAAATATTGGCGATAGAAATGTATGAAAAACAATCCGACAAAATATCCCAAGATAGAAATGATTATCATCATTTTTAACGATCGCTTATATAAGAACGATTCCTCTTGTCAAAGGAAAGATAATCAGATAAAAAGACACGAAGTGATTGGTGCATAGAGAAAGAAAAAATATATATGACAATAATATCCAATCTTTATTTATCTTTAGATTTCATTAAAAGCGTTAAGTTTATCTTGATGAACCAAAAATATTTATCTTTTTTCATCATAAGCCTCTTATAGAAGATAAATAAAAAGATATTGCCGATGATATTCATCATGCCGATGGTTAGGATTGAGCGTTTTTATCAGAAACTTTTCATGCGTATGATCAGTCATCGGCATATATTTTGATTTCCTTGTAATGTTTATCTAGCTTGTGTACTTAGCATGACACCCCAATTCAATTCCATTAGGTAAGAAGACAAAAATACAATTGGCCAAATTTATTATGAAAATATTTCACAAGTAAATAAGAAATAAGAAAAGAACAATGAACAACCAATGAAAAGAAAATAGGGAAAAAAAACTTAAGCGATGGAATAAATGGTGGGGGTCTACTGTTGGGTAAGCTGATTCAAGGCTATTTCCCTTTCTAGAATTAAAACAAAATTTATCGTATTGAAAAAATATAGTAGTCACGTACGTTGAACTGCTTCTCGACGACGTCTATATTCAGAAGGTGTTTTACAAAAGAACCACGCAGCCTGAAAAATAACAATGAATGTTAATTAAATGAAGAAATCCATATTTCTTGATTCTCACCTTTCATTGATTATTATTCATGTAAAAATTTTTTTAAAAGCGACATAAGATGGTTAAAAACATGCAAATAAAAACAAGTATTGGTGGCAAAAGTATCTCCATTTTCACCGTACTTTTGTTGATACTATCTGCTACCCTTCTAGTTTGTTCTATTTCATTTGTAGTGTAAGTGATGGTGGCGATAGTGGTAGTGGTTGTATTTTTTAAATAGTACTCCTTGTTGATTAAATCAGTAAGGCTGTTATACTCCTATATACAAATATCAATTGAGTAATTAAGTATTTCCTGATTTTCACATGAGTTACTTACTGGAGCAGAGTTAACACGAACAAGAAGAACACAAACAACGAGGAAAAAGAGCATATTGATTACAGTAAAAGTGAATGATAATGTTCATCATTTTCATCCCATATATATATATATAGATAACTTATACATGCTTGTGGTACAGATAGCGTAATTGGTTTACAGTTATTGTTCTTTTTAAGTTATGTTTTTTTTTCTTAATAGTATCAAAGAGTTCAAAGAATATGCAAAGAAGACAGAGCCATTCATTGTTCATCCTTTTACCTTTCATTTTAGTCAATTAACTCTTTTTTTCTGTTCTGTTCGTTTAATGTACGTAGTCGTTCTTCTTCTTTCGCTTCCGTTCTCTTTCCTTTCCTCTTCTGTCCCATCAAACAGGAAGTTATGTGCCAAGACAAAATGAATGATAAAAATAAGTATGCGTGATAAGCGGTTATCTCTACACCTGTGACCGACATATCTATTTTATTCATATGTATAGATAGAGCTGAAATGATCATTACAAAAAAATAATTGATTATTTAAACAAAACCGGAGAACAAATTTTAAAACATAACACACTAATATTCATAGATTTGCGTGTACACAGCTATTTCGACGCGGTCTGGTGAAGTGCGAGTACGTCGAGCACCTTGTCGATCGTCGTATATATACAATTCTTTGTCAGAACCAATTAGAGTGGCAGTGAAGTGCGCATCTCGATGATTAATCACGGCACGCAGCTTATATCTATCACAAAAAGGTGACAATTAGCAAAATGAAAGATATATAAAGAATGAAAAGTATTTTCAATACATACTTAATAGAACAGATTCTAATGGTGTCTTTAAGATCACGAAGTCGAACTGGATTTGGCTCGTAGCCTTCATCTATTCTTTTTGAAAATAGCTTAATATTTACAATGGTTATGGGAGGATGGCCATAATCAAATGTAGCTGATGTGTGAATATTTGTAGAGTTACATATCCAGCCACGCCTTGAAAGAAGAAAACAATTAACATTTTCAAAAGAAGAGAGTCAACATACTCATATTCATTTTTGTTTGTTTCACAATTGAAAAAGGGTACGCGACCATCTCTGTATTTCTTTTGAAGTGCTTCAGCTTCACTTATTTCTTCTTTGCGCTTCATCATTATTGGACATACACCCTCAGTTTCAATCTCAAATTTATCAATGTTTTCATCGGTAGAACTAGAAAAAAAAATCAATTATGAAAAATGCTTTATTAGTGAATTATGCTTACAAAATATCCAACTCAGTTGATGTACACTTGCGTTCTTTTTGGTATAATCAGGACGTGAACAGATAATTTCATTTGAGTGTCGTTGTCGACTCTTAAGAAAAGAAAATACGAGCTCGTCGACAGAACCAAACAGATCTCTCGTTAGTCGACCAGTTGTTTTCAAAATATTACACTTCAATAACCAATAAATACGTGCTACGTCCCATCCTTCCTTTTCTACAATATTGAAAGTTTTTATTAGTGTTGCATAAGGTGATGATTCTGCGGCTTCTTTGAGCTCAGATGAAATAATTTCATCTGTTACGTATATGAAATAAAGAGAAAAAAGAGCCGAATCGATAGCACATGTATTATAGAGAGTATATGCTTGGCCTTGAAAAGAAAGTATACATAAATTTCATTATGAATAATGTATTCATCTTCTCATTTTTTCCCTGTTACCTGTATACATAACATTTTTAACTTCAAATGTGGGCCATTTTAATGTAAAGCCACTAATTGTTATTTCTGAATTAGATGGAATTTTGATAGACAGATCCTCTGATAATTGATGAGTTGTTACTTTGTATTCTACAATTAGAATATGTTCTATCTAATACATAAATTAGCTTGTATTACTACCTACGTTCATTAACAATATTCAAATTGTTTGGTACTATAAAAGATGAATTTGTATTCAAACTGTTTTCAATTGAAATTTCATTTTGTTGATGATTAATGTTCGCCGACACATCCAAATTGAATGGAATAGGATTAGAATATTCATCACTTACCTGCACAGCCGCTTCAGATGATGATAATGAATCTCTTATGCTGGAACGAGATGATTGACTAAATTAAACGTATATACTGTTTGGTATAAGAATAATGTTTCTCTTACTTGATTGAGATTTTCTCACTGGGAGTTTTCGAAGATGATTCCGATTTATTTGACGAAGAATTGACCGCATAATTGTTCGATTCACTAAATACAAAGATATAATCTGATGAGACGTGGCCAAGTTCCCAGGAGTCGGGAACTCTGCGGGAATTGGGAACTCAAAAAAAAAGCGTCAACAAGCGATGTGAAACCAAGGAACTCTGGGAACTCTGGGACTCCAAGGAACTCTGGGAACTCTGGGACTCCAAGGAACTCTGGGAACTCATGGAATTCAAGGAACTCAGGGAAATCAACGGTTTTGTGACCGGTCGATTGGATGAATTCTGAGTTGAAAGTTTTGAAGTGGAAACATTTTTGTCTAAAGAAAAGATTCACTTGTGAAAATGCATTGTGTCCTTTTACTGATGTTGTTAATGAAATTGTTATTGCATGTAGCATGCTTTTTCGGGGGAAGTCATAGTGCGCGAATTTCGTATGCTTTGAAGTAATTAAGAGATGTGATGTGGTTCAGAAGTTTAACAATTTCGCTAGAGGATGTTCGTGTGTAATATTACCGTTTTCGGTACTCTGAAGATTAAAATTCTTATTTTTATGGCGGTCGCTATAGCGAGAGCGTTTATTCAATTTTGAGGGTTGATCTCCTTTTTTTGTGATGTCCAGCCGTCGAAGTATTATGTATTCCGGTTTTTTTTCTCTTGTTTTACGAGATATCAGGTTGTCATGCTCTTCAAAAGTTTCATAGTAGATCGATAAGTCGGATTATGAACCCAATCATGAAGCCAAGCTATCCTGCGACAATTCAAACAGATCTGCGACGCATCTTTTGTGTGTGTGTCTCTATTTTCTCTTTCACCCTCCGTCAGGGAATGCATCACTGTAAGAATTCATTTTTCAATAATCTTCAAGATTATAGTTTAAGTTTTTCTTTAAGAAGCAATAAAAAAAACAACAACATGAAGTTTTTATCTATGAAAATATTATTCTAGATTAGAAAACGTTTTTTTGCCATATATTGAGTATCATTTTTATTAGCTGATCTTTCTTTGAGTCTTCAATGCTCATCACTTCAAATAATATTCATTTGTTCGTCATATACCATATGATTCGATGATGAATGTGGTATTGCACGTGATCCGCTATTTCTCTCAATCTACTAATTGAAAAATACAAAGTTGAAAAGAAAAAAAGAAGAATCGGTTGATCACCAATATGTGTTTTACATCAACCCATCTGTTGCATAACTTGGTATGGGAACAATTACGTAAATGAAATAATATCAATAAGGCAGCAACAAATCGATATTCATTCATATTTGAAAGCATCTGTGAATATGACTTAATCCACGAGTTGATTTGTTCACAAGAACTACTGTTAATATTTTTCAATGTATCATCTAAATCGAGATTCAAATGCGTATGACAGTACTTCTAAATGAATTATAAAATAATTTTAAATATATAACTATCAGCAATTGCTTACATCTTTATGATTTGATAAATGAAAACGATCCACAAAGAATCGAACTTCTTTTAAAGCTTTAAATCCAATATTATTATTAAATTCATTTGATCTTGATTCATCAGCAAAATTTGCTCGAACAGATTTTGCTAATAAACAACCAGCATCATAAATCACAATTCTTGTTAACATTGGTGTGATTGTGTATAAGTCTGTTAATGCTTGCATCACTTGTTTACGTGATTCAGATCGTAAGATCTCTTCAAAACAAATAATAACTTGACAGTTTGTTGCTAGTACGAGAATTCCACAAGCTCTTTTCGATTCATCAGTCATAACATCCTCTTTGTGCACATTACAGCTCAGCTAAAATCAGATATAATTATTTTCAATAAATAGATGAATAAAAATATTTCAAAACTAAATAATCGATTTTAATATCAAAGGAAAACGTTTTGTAGATAAAATCACAGTAAAAAGAAATGACTTGCTCTAATATAACATATGTTCTATTTTTCTTCAACTCAAAGCACAAAGTCATGTATTATAACATTAGAAAGAATGTGTATATGTGTTTAGGGATGTGCGGTGTGTGTTTACTGAACACTGATAGACACCGACAGTGACGCTCAGTGCACACTGATAGGTCCAGTGCCACTGATCACCGATATATTGATCACACTGACACCGACGTCACTGGAACACCGATGACCACTGTATCACCGATCACTGATGCACTGATACCATCGGCGTCACTGGTACGCCAGGCACGCTGACTTCACTGACATCTTATAATTAATTATTATATGATACTGCAAGACATGTACTTTAAACAAAAGAAAGAACGATTATAAACTAGATGCATGTTTGCTTTGTTGAAGGTTTTCACTTATGACTTATTCATCTAATTCTTCGACGAAAATCTATTAATTTTTTTCACGTTCTAAAACTCTAAGCATTAATTTTCTTCAAAAAATACGTGTATCTAGTTTATGATCATTCTTTGTTTATTTAAAGCACATACCTTGCAGTACTATGTAACAACTAATTACGAGATGGCAGTGAAGTCAGTGTGCCTGACGTACCAGTGACGCCGATGGTATCAGTGCATCAGTGACCGGTGATACAGTGGTCATCGGTGTTCCAGTGACGTCGGTGTCAGTGTGATCAATATATCGGTGATCAGTGGCACTGGACCTATCAGTGTGCACTGAGAGTCACTGTCGGTGACAAAAGTGACGGTTTTTTCGGTGTTGTCACGGACACCGCACATCCCTATATGTGTTATAAGTTAAGAAAATATGTATTTAAAAAATAGATATGTTAAGAATAACTATTCTTAAATTTTATTCTATGGTAAGCTCAACCAAGAAGACAAAAAGTATATTGTATGAAGCAATAATGGTTCCAACTTTGTTGGTTGCCATGTAATTATAGGAAATTCTTTTCTTGCATGAAGAATTATTCTAAATGATCATGTTTTCCAAAAATGTTTCTCATTATCTGCATTGTTTTTGATGTGGATTCTAAATTCAGACGTTAATTTTTTTTGTACTAACTCCTGCCATATCATTGCCATAATTATTTTCCAAAGGCTCCGACTTTGTTTTTGTGATTGTTTTTTTTCAGATGCGAAACATGATGTTGACGCTTCTTTCGCTAAATTGTTATTTTTACATTGTGTACATAATTTTTCCTTTGGATTTGGTGTATGACTGCACCCAACTATCAATGGTTTAAACAAATAAACAAAATGTTCTGGTAAAGACAACGCAATATTTGGATTCGCACATAATCGTCTTCTGATTTTCATATGTCCATCACAAATTACAGCTGCTGAACATAAGTCATACTCATTATCAACTTCTTTTACTGATTTACACGGGTAAAAAGTGTTATGTGACGACCAAAATTGTACGAATTTTTTGTAAAAACGATCATAATTCACCATGATAAAATTATCTATATCTGTGGAAATATTGCTTGGGAAAAAGGCACAACATTGATTGAGAAATTTTTCACCAGTTCCCATAAACAATTGGAATTGTATAATTTCATAAATAATAAATATTCGTTCAAATAGTCTTCTCTCTAGCGGAATATGAGAATCATCAATTAATTCATTGAATGCACGAGTAAACGAATCAAATGCAACGTGACCATTACTAAAAAAAAGAGATAAAAATCTAAAATATTTCGTTACGTGAAACTGTTTAAAATTTTAATTCAATCTTCTCAAAAAGAATTCACCGTTAATAAACTCGATAGGTAGCATTGGTCAGACTTCAAAGTGAAATCAGTGAATACAAATGAACATTGCTATGGTTTCTATCGAGTATCTGTTCTTTTTAAAAGCTAATCTACTGCCTTCAGATTAAAAGATTTATAACAATCAATGCATTGTCAACGTTTCTTTTAAAATTAAGTATGTAAATTCATATTTTTATTAAATGTTATGTGAAGTTATTTCTTGATTACATATTTGGGTAACAACTAACAGACACCTATGGTCTAGCATCTCACAAGTCTTATCTATATAAAAAAAAACAGGATACTCATCATTCACCTTCTTACCTTAATAAACAAGCATATTGCTTTAAAAGCAAACACTCAAATGCTGTTTGACCACCTAAATAAACATATTTTCCACTTGATAAGAATTCTTGGTTAGTAAAACAATATTGTTCATTATCAGACAAATTACGAATGAAATTCGGAAATATTTCTAATGAACACTGGTTCGATTTGCATTCATAACTAACAACGGTCGCTTTTTTCGAGCGTCCATCTGCCAAATAAAGTGTCACAGTCCTGAATTTCGACGAAGAAGAGAGAGATTTTTGACATCTAGTAAAATATTAAGGAAAATTAATTATTCATTATAATATCAATGAAAAAAATTACTGTGGACATCGATCAGATTTCGGTTCTAATGTAAATGTCAAACAAAAAGCAGTTGAATGTGGAAAATCACATAAATTATCAATATTCGATACGTATTTATTCAATTCATGTTCAACATTTTTGTTATGTTGCAAGAGATTTTTTCCATCAGCTGATGGTTGTTTTAACATAGATAACATATCGAACATCCTATGTGGTTCTATATCGACTTCAAATGCTTGTTTGACAATTTTTACCAAATGATCGAGTCGATCGGGTAAATTTAATGGTAAATTTGCATCAATAGATAAAGCAAAATCCATTAATGGCAATGAAAAGCGTTGATCAAGTGCAATTCTCAAGAAATCATATATATCTGTTGAACCACCACTAAAATTATCCATAATACAAAGAATCTAAAAATTCAGTGGTTGCCATTAGAATAGGTTTCATTGAATCAAAAATGGATCACTATATACTTTTTTCATAATCTTTTCACGTTTCAAATATAAGAACGATTTTATTTAATACTCTGATTTTTTGATTATTTTATCTAGTATATAATGTATTTTTAATCGAATATAACGACATCATCTTGATAAAGAAAAAAAGTAAGCAATTAAATAATACCAAGTCAACATATACGTAGTGCCATATCAAAATTAAATAGTATAAAAAATCGAAAAAATCCATCAGCTAACAAAAAAATTTTAAGACGTACACAAAGTGGAAATAAATCTTGAATATATCAAAGAGAAAAAAATCGATAAAAATGTCAATAATTAAACCTCGAAATATGAATAAAAATGTTACAAAATATACAATATACATTATTAATACAATATATTTATTTTTTATTATTTGATTGCTTGGATTTCTTTTTACTTATTAAATTGGTTGTACCTTCACTTGGTTCAGGAGAATAAATTCGTTTATTTTTCCTGCGTGCCCGCGTACTTCGGCGGACGTCAGCTTGAGTTTGTTCATTTGGTGGAGCTACATAACCATCAATTGATTCATTTTCTTTGCTACTAACTAGTAAATCATTACCATCATTTTGTCTATTTAATTCCGTTTCCATTACTACTGGATCAATATTATTATCAATGTTTACATTTCGTAATATTGGACGTGGTGGTCGAGGCAAAAGAGTATTAATCGACATCTGTGATGACGATGATGATACTTGAGACTGATTTGTATTTTGTCACGATGGAGGATGTAGATCGGTTTGATCTCGATACACGATGTGATGTAAAAGCAGATTCATTTTTGTTGTATGGTTCACCTTCTTTTTCTCCCATAATATTTTCTGGAACATGTTCAACTGAAGATGATGTATTACTATCAGTACTTATGTTAGAGATGTTATTATCGATTAGATTAAGTATACGCTGACTTGATTGTTTAGATGACTTTTGTTGTTTTTTTTTGTCTTTGGTTCAGCTGTTTCATATTTTTCAATTATTCTACAAAACAAATTGATCAAAAATACCTGTCATAAAGTGAAAAAGCATGTATTTAGTCACAACTACTTTCGATAATTATCTTGATTCAAGATTTGCCGAACTTCTTCAGATAAAGTAGCTGTTGCAGATGGCAATACAACTTTTTCACAATTTGCTTTATATAAAGCCCATGGCATTTTAATTTGATCCAGGTTATTCTTAACAAAAGAGTTGACTGTATTCAATGTTATTGACTCAGGTAACGTTTTAATGTATAAATTGCATGAATTGCGTCCAGAACGAAGACCATTTTCGATTTTCATTAATAACTGCATATTTATTAATTTTAAAATGAGTGGTTCAACTGTAGTGTATTGATGTTTTAATTTTGGATACGCTTTGATAATCTATATGAGAAACAAAAATATTAAAATAATTGTTCTGATTATTTAACGTTTAAAAAGAAAATTTATTTGATTACCTGTGAAAATGTAAAACAAATACTTGGGTATAACAAAACCATTTGACATTTATCAAGAGCAGATACATCAATTTGTGTTTCACTTAAAGTACTTGTTTGAGTTGCTGGAAGTTCAACAACAGCAGGATTTGAATACGAATTTGAAGATGATGGGATCCATGGAATTTCTTTTATCGGGATTGATCGATTTATGGAAAGATCAAATAAATTGAAGAATTTCAATAAAATAATTTGAGTTGAATACATAGCAGCTTCTACTTGACTACCTACAATCATCATGCGATACGATAAATTATTATTAAAAATAAAATGGCTCTTAAAAGAAAAAAATAAAAGGATTAGACAGACCGTTCACTGGTATTATAAGAAAATTTTGCAAGCTCATATGTTTTGGCGCAAGGAAATTCATTTTTTACTCACTTGAAGTAGTAATTGCATTGTTTGAATGAGGTGGATATTTTGCATAAAAGAAATCGACCATTTTGCAGTAAGTATTAAATGAAATAGTTCCATTAGGATCTTGTAAATTATTTTCAACAATAAATTCTTGTAAAAGATCATATGTCAAATTAATATGTGCTATTTGTGCTGCAAGACGTGATGTTAATTCACTTGTTTTCGAAAATCGAGCAGATATCCATTTATCGATGTTTTTCCAACGTGCACCTATAAATAATAGAATTAATCAGCATGCATATAATGCGAAACCAAAACTTGATCTTAATAAAAGAAAAATATTGGTTAAATCAGTATTCATTTTTTTAAAGAGGAAAATTATATTGAATGATTATTCGTGGTTTATATCAAATAGTAAAAGGAATCATTTTTTTATCAAGTATCTTTCAATGCTCTTTTCCTTCTCTCAATATTATCTTCTTTGACACAATTGCCAATATTATTCTCTCGAACAATAGAGAACAATCAGAATTTTGATAATAATTAAAAGCCATCTGCCTACTACAAAATGATTTAAATCTAACACAACTATATGATTGACCTTAAAAAAGAGAGCTAACTGATCTGATATATAAATGCACTAAAATTAGAAATGAAACGGATAAAATTTAATGTTTTCTTATCACTCATTTTAGTCAAGAGAGTAAATAAGACTATCTTTCATAGAAAAACAAAACTACCCATAAATTGATAATCAACTAGAACATACCAGCAGCCACACAATTATCTTGCCAAGCCTGAAGAAGATCATCAGCAGATTGGCTACCTTCGGTATCAAATACGTAAGTTTGATTGCATACAAGTGAAGAAGCTAATAACAGAAGTTCTAAACCGATTGCATCTCTTAGTGATAACTTGCTTTTATAATTAGAAGTAAACTTTGGTGGTGAATCAAACACCTCAAAAGTAGTACGCATTACCATGGCGTCCGGCATGACAGAAGATTTGATTTTTGCTCGTAAAATATCCAATACAGGTGCCTTAAGAAACGTAAAGTATAATAAAAATAGTAAACTCTTTTCAGCAAACTTACTCCATTACTAGCACCTAAAAATGATACTTGTGGATTTTGAAGATGACCACTATCACTCACTTTTCCTTTTTGATAATAAGGCATACCAGTGTGAAACGATTTGAGAACGCTAGCTGCACTTGAACTAAAGCATCAAAAACACAAATAAATATTTTTGTTACTAAAATGTCTGTCAAGATAATATATTGAAACACTATTCTTAATATGGCATGTATGAAAAACATTCTTAATTGATATCTGGAATAATTATTACATGATATCGAATGAAGCCGAGAAATGGCACCCTTACTTTCCATTGTTCGGTTTGTTTTCTATGCCAAACATCCCAAGCTTTTGATGATCCCCATCGAACTCATCAATAAGAACAAGAATATTTCCAGCTGTGTCCAGATATTTAGTCAATCCGGGACCGGTTATCTAAATAAACGAATAAAATAAGTTAGAAACACTTTCGAAAATTAAAAGAAATCTCATAGCTCAGTTACTTCATTTAAAATTGCATGTCGATAATTCATTCTGTTTTTAAAGTTTGTTCCAAATACATTTTCACGACTTTGTTCAATTTTCAAATCATATTCTTTTTTTAACTGTTGTACTTGCATAATTTTAGAAAAAATTAATGATTTCCCAGCACCCAAAAATAAAAACAAAAATCATCACTTTTTTTTCGAATTTCACTGATCATATTAAAAATTAACGAAATATATTCAGATATTTTGTAAATCGATCAAAGGCAAAAATCACAATATTCTTCATAGGATGTCGATAGATTGGTCAATATCCTTCTTTATACAAATAACGCATGCTCTCTGCTTGTCTTCACCCACAATAACTAAACTTCTCGCATAATGCTAAAAACAAAATAAGATCAACATACCCATGTTCGTAATCAATAAGGTAAAATCACCAATTGATTTAGCTCGTTGAGGAACGTTGGCCACTAACACTTTCCCTTCGTCTTCATGAAATGCAGCACACACTCGAAGACAAACTGATAACGCTTGAGCATCAATCATAAGATTGTCAGCTATCAGTTCTGATGTATTGGCAACTGATACACCATGAACCCTTTCCAAATCATATGACAAACGACCGGCACACTCAATATTACGTGCATACAAGGTGTCAACACTCGACATAGTATTTCTCTTGTTCAATTCAAAATAGAACAAACCAAAATTACTATACTTTAAAATTATTTTGTTGTTACTGAAATCTTAATAAATTTAGTGGTCTTTATATAATCATATACCATTATTATGATTCATCCACCAATAACAAGAGAGAGAAGATAACCATATCCTCCCTGGTATATTATTTCTTATTCTTCGAAAATAATTTATTTTTATACTAAACATTCTAACATGAATTAAAACTAATCTTGTGAAAAGTGTCACTGAAATATATCACTGCAACGCAAAATTAACAATTCACTTCACGAACGTACAGTGCATATGTGTGCTAAGTAAGTGATGCATCTCTAAAATGAATAAAATTCATACTAAATTTCGATATCACACATCAAGACAATATTAAAATTGTCCAAACTTATATGTTATCAATACAATTCTTTTTCATCAGACATATCATAGAATATCAAAAGGGGCATTCATCAGTTGAGCATATATATGTACTTTACAAAAGATTATATGACAACAACAGACTTCCCATAATAGAAAATACATATTATTCTGTCGATATACTCAGTAGCAACTACATTATATCAGTTCAATAACCCTTAACAATGAACTGTGCAAAACTTCACCCGCAATCAATTTTCATCAACAATAAAACCTCAAACACTTCAAAAGTGGGTGTGTTATAGAACAATCATCCCTTGTCGAACTTTTTTATTAATACGTTTACAAGACTTGAGCTCAAGATGTGTCCATAGCGCATGACTCTCTTGATCAAGACAAGCGCTTCAATGCTTGCATGAGTTCACAAAAAATGCAACTATACATTTTTATTAAAAGTTGAGTTACTGTAAATGCAAAATTGAAAAAGAATTTGAAAAGTTCTTTAAAAAAAGAAACGATTAGATAAAAATTCAAGCGCATGAACAAGAAGTTTAGGAAATTGAGCTCACCGAAAGGGCTCATGTCTTGCCTCAAGATGTGTCCATGGTTCTGCACTTTCTTGATCAAGAAAGTCAAGAATTGCAAGCGCTTGCAAAAAAATGTTCGACTAGGGATATCTTTGACACAGCAATAATAACATAATTTCCCATATAACTGACATCCTTCCACTACAAGAGATTCCTCGTGCCCTTTCTCTGATTATCACCAACCGATTCAATACATTTCACTAGTTCCCACCAAATTCATTTTGCCGCAAGCACGGGTACTAGACTTAAATACGGCAAATTGAACGTCCCTGTCAATTTGTTCTATTATGAATCCCGCCGAGACTATCAATCCTGTCGCGACACCCTCACTTATTATGTTGTACTGTGAGTCCTGCTGAGGCTGCCAGTCCTGTCGCGACACCCTCACTCGAGGGCCTGCAGAATGCCTACCAAGCAGAACTCAGAATTTTGTAGACTTAAACAAAAATTACAAAAAATTTAGTATTCAATTGCTGTGCTGAACAAAAAGTGCCGTACTAATAGAATTCTGCGGAAAATTTGAAATGAACAGCTGAATTCTTCAAGCCCCCTTATTATCATACGGTTAGCTTTGCCAGGCACACACTATGCTCTATCAGAAAAATTCTGCTAAGAATTCAAACGAACCAACAGAATATTGACAGAATTCTGTATCTTTTACAATAANTATCGAGCGTTACGGACACAAAAGAAAGTCGGAGTTACAAAAATCGGCGTAAAATCGGACTCCGACTTTCTTTTGTGTCCGTAACGCTCGATAAGACGTCGATTGGACCTTCAAAATACATCAGTTTGTAGAGAAAATATCAGAGAACAAAACCTTTAACTCAAAAAATTTCTAGCGTTAAAAATGAATCATTGGCAAGGAATTTAATTGACTCCGATGACAAATCCGAAATGATTCCGAATCTGATCACTATTCACAGGAGACATTAATCTAAAAAGAAATTAACACCATCATTAACATCTCTACCAAAACGAAAAGGATAACGTTCAGCCACAAAAACTATACAAGTAACACGCCGAACTGAATAAAATACGAACAAACGCAATATCAATATTTGAAACAAGAATATAGCAAAATGACAATACATACAGTACAACAGCAATTGAAAATAGAAAATATCACCAAAACTACGCACTACATAGAAACAACATAAAATTAAAACCTAAAACGAAAAAAAAACAATATCGTCATCAATACCTGAAAAAACACATCATACCATGAGCAAAATCTAAAGTGAAAACAAAACATCATAACACCAAGAAAATATGAAACAAAAAAAAAGAATAACGTGAGAAAAAAATCGGAAAAAGAAATGCCAAAATTATTTGGCTTTCATTGAATTCGAATCAATAAACCATCGTACAACTCTTCAATAAAAAGATGCATAATTCAACCATCAGAATCTGAAATGAACAATGCACACCATCAGTCAGATAGAAGGAAAGCACAGAGAATAAGCTCATAACATAACCTAAAACCTGAAACCGATAAGACACATAACTTTAACTCGAAAAGCCAAATAAACTAACCTTGAAACCTAAAATCAAGACTCAATATCATCACAACACAAATAAACAAACCTATCCGATAATGCAGATAGTAAAAAGAAACATCAACGACATAGCTGTTGCATAGAGAATAAAATTATCACAGAAACATCTCTAATATCCACCATTTGTTCGAATATTTATCCTCTCCTAAAAAGATGATCCGAATACCGATAATCCTCCAACTAGATAATATATTATGTTAACAATCCAACGCCGTTATTTACCATGAACACCGACACCTGCTATGTTTTCTGGTTCTTGTAGCTGTTAACCAATTGAATTCAGGATTTAAAGAGTATAGCAACAGAATTCTGATGAACGGCTTGTATATAACATGTATTCTCCACATTCTTGCAAACAGAATTCTGTTCAGGATTTAAAAGTATAGCAACAGAATTTTGATGATCGACTTGTATATAACATGTATTCTCCACATTCTTGCAAACAGAATTCTGTTCAGAATTTAAAGAGTATAGCAACAGAATTCTATTCAGAATATTTAATACAATTGAGAAAAAATATTTGAAAATGCATAAGTCCTCAAAATTCTGAATTCTGCTGGGTAGGCATTCTGCAATTGCTGCCTCACTCATGATGTTGTACTGTGAGTCCTGCTGAGGCTGTCAGTCTTGTCGCGACACCGACTGTCATAACTAGATTTGTGTGTTCCTCTGCAGATGTGAATATTATCAACAGTTGCAACAGCATTAGAGGAATTGCTAAACAAACAGATTTATTTTTAGATATTGCCCGCTATCAGTTGGTCCCTGGATAGATAGATAAAGTGATTTACGCATTTATCTACCCATACAAGCACACAGAAACGTTTCATAGATAGAATATGTTTGTCCCTCGAAAACTGAATGATACCATCAATCATGATTCTCATATATATCCCACTATCACCGAAGCCGAACGACCCGACGCTCCCGAATTCCACTTTTATTCAACGTATACATTTATCAAAGTATAATAAACAATCACTCTAAAATATCGAAACTCATTCTTAAACAAACAGAAAACTTGCGAATTTGACCACCGTGACTTCATATATCTATTATGTCAATGGATATGCTCTCACCCAAT